TTCTTGCTTTTTATGATACAAAGTTACAATAAAAATTACACGTACCTAGCTCAAACCGTTCTCGAGTTGCGTATCGTGATGACAGACAGACGGACAGACAGACAAACACACACACACACACACACACACACACGCACGCGAAACTTTTTGATCGCTGGAGTAATAGGCTTCACTAATCGCTCAGCCAGTAAGACCTCTTCCGGGGCATTGCGGATTTCAGGCGGGACACAACCTCCGGAGCCCCCTCCCCTGCCTCGCTCTTTTATCTCTAGTACCGGGTGTCCCGGCTCTTACATGCCAGTATGGCGGGTAACATACGCGCTGGCTCGCAGGCGCTGTCGGGAACGCGCTGGATTGCGCGCATCCCCGTGGCCCGTGGAACCGCGGGGGATGCGCGAAATCCTTCGCATGTAAGAGCCGGGACACCCGGTACCTCTCTACCCTTTAGCAGGCGAGTGTTTTCCTTTCCGGGGATGCCCAGTCGCCAGTTGTCCGCTGCTGGCGCTAATCCCTCGAACGGGGGGACGACCCAGACCGACCCCAGACCCCAGCGGTCCGCACCGCACCGACCGCACTGCACTGCATCAGTCCGAGTGTGCAAGGCGCCCAGGTGTGTCGTGTGTCCGTGAGTGGTGATCGGTGACCTGAACCTCACCGGCGTCCTATGGGCAGAGTCTCCGCCAGGGCGACGGGCGACTCCAGTAAGTGTTCGACGACTAGCTGCTGCACCTGGGGAGCGACGAGTACTCGAACCAACGGCGGACTTTTCGCGACCTGAAAGGTGGGCAGTGGGCAGGTTATCAGCGTTCGCGCTTGGTGTTTCAGATTCCCGAGCCCTTTTCAGGAATAAGGAAAGCACAGGTCCTGAACTCATGTTTACTATCTTTTTGTTTTTCTCCAGAGTTACCGGGCCTTTTACTCCACAATGCCATACCGATGTGACCTGTGCAACAAGAAGTATAAGAGGAAGGCTAGCCGTTACAATCACATGAGAACCCACTCAGGAGAGAAACCATTTGAGTGTACATTCTGCGACAAGAAATTTGCTGACAAGGCCAAATTGGGCAGACATCTCCGGAC